CGTTCTGTGATAAGAAGATATCTTCAGAAACCTGATGTTTATTTAGATTTTAATGAGCGATATCTGGATTAAAAGTAAAACTGATCGATAATGAAGTTCCGTATCATGGGTGACACAAGTTTTGTTCATTCACTATCTTCTGCCGCAACTTCGTCCACGTTCAACTTTACGGAGATTTTTTTTTGTTCCGATTTCAATTGCTACACAAGAAATGGTTTTAAAGTCCATCCTGTGGATACAAAGTCATTTATACTGTTTTATTCTAATATATGTGTTACCGATCAAACTCAATTTCAGATCAAACTAGATTGGCCTATGATAAACTAACCTAAGGTGATGGAGCCCCGCTAGGCGGGGCTCGCATCGTCAATTCGCGTCACATTGCATTTATTTTCATTAAAAAAGCCCTCAATTCGTATGTCAGTTTTACCTTGAAAGACGGATAAACATATAGACACAAGCATTTATATAATATTAGTTCACCGCACATTAGGGGATTTTATTTAGGTTTGTTTGTTTATCAATAAATGCGGTGATTACCTATCTTGTGAAAGTGTTATCAACTATTCCAAAGTTCAGATTTGTTGAGTCACTGTAAAAGCGGTACACATGCGTTGTATTTCTATACCTATTTTATAAGCATTTCTATTATATTATATATTTTACACAGTTTCTGGTTAGGCTCCGTGTACCAGATTTTGTATATAGAATGTAAACTTTCATTTTTAAAGTGTCTCACGCTTTACAAATGAAAGTTTATATTGCATTGAAAGTTTACGAGCCATGCTTCGAAACGATGACCGACGTGAAACAACGCTTGCGTTATGTTTCGTCGTGTGAGTGAGTGAGGCCCAATTACTCCTCGCCCCCTTTCGTAACCCTCGAATGCCTAACAATCCTCAAATCTCTAATCCCAAAAGGCCGGTAACGCACTTGTAACACCTATGGTGTTCCAGGTGTCAAGTAGCGACGCCAATTGCTTACCATCAGGTGATCCGTCTGACCGTTTACCGGTTAACCCATAAAAAAAATTTGGAACTACGATTTTGGTTTTTGATAGTCGGCTGATACACAGAACAAATGGTCTTTATGATATGTGTTATCCACAAATTGTTCTTCTGAGTCTGGACGTCGTGTGTATATGAAATTATTTATTTATAAACCCACCCACGACACAGGACAAAATTGTAGTGTAGGACAAATTAATGAATATTTTTATAAGAACAAACAAACAGTACACCACATTTCTTTTTAAGTACAATAAGATAGTAGTCAGCAGTCACCCTTATTACCGTATACTTACCTATTGATTGATACCTTTTAATCCGGTTATCATTGATTAAAATCTAAATAAAAAGTGATTTCCGCATGAGTTTTATCGGAAAAAATACTATATAACGGTCGATGATACCACTTAGCTACAAGTTGAAAGTTAGTTAGGGTAAGTGATTTATCTGCAATAGAAATAAACGATCATACCAGAAATATTCCCAGATATATATACTTTCTACTAAATTAAATCTAGTTACCGTATTAATAGTCTGGTACCAAAAAATCTATAACAATATTTCAATACTCTCTTTCCATGTACTCTGGGCTAACTAAACCTAACGTTGTTGTTGCAGATGAGGAGCTTCATTATCATCACAGTGCTGTCAGCACTCGCAGCCTGCTATGGCGCCGCTGTCCTCCCGAGCGAAGAGGAGATGGTCACCATAATATACGACGACAAGTCACCCAATGGAATCATTATGTCCAGAGCAGACTTTAATGCCAGTTCTCAGGGTTGGGTTCTGCTATCTAAGTGAGTATCTGAGTATCATAATAGATTTTAACAAAATAACCACTCTTATAGTTTTATTACAAACCAAACGAAAGCCCATTTAGTACACTCACTATTTGAGTCTTACAAGATAGAGGAAATAAAGGCATAATCATTCATATTATGCCCTTATTTTCATACCATTCATACCTTTGCCTAGTACGGGAATGCAATAACAATACTTGGAATATTATATTATACAAAGTGGGCCCAACGTGATCAAGTTTATAGAGAAGGCATAAATTATTAGTATGTTGAAAATTATTATTGAAATATTATTTTCAGGACGAACGATTTCGTGCCAGCTGTTGAAGGCCAAGTGCAGAGCGTCGGCGTGTTCTACAGAGCAAATTTCGGGGTCCGAATTGACAGGCTTGTCATAACTACTTATGGCCATCTTATTCCTGATGTAAATCGTACTCCACTGGGCAGTAATAAAATGATAGTAATTTTAACTTCACGTCCCGGTGAATTAATCAGATCAACTATTGAAACATATAAGCGGGATGAGATTTCTTCATAAACTTAGTAATTATCCACCAGCATGATTATTGTCATCCAAACACACAACTTAAATATGTGCTTATGTTTAATTTACTGCCAGATATATTAATAACACGTTCGAGGACGCTACCACTTGAGTCGGGTTTTCAAAATGACACAGTACATGTCTATACAAAATTATACGACGTATCAGTACGTAGTGTCCCATGAAGAAATATCGTTTTAAACATATCATGACACAACCGTTTTATCACGTCAACGTGTATATGCATCTAGGTAAGGATCCGCCTCGTTGGAGATGTCGGAATCATCAAACATGCTTATCTTGTGTCTTATTTTGCGCTTATATCCATCTAAAACACACAATAACCCATTAAACATCAATTTCACACTGTAAAATCATTAATTTGCATTAAAGTAATGTACACAGTGACACAGCCGCGCTGAATGGAGCGGGGACGTATAAACACGTTGTGCGTATGTGAATACCGTAACCGCACACTATCAACGACACTTATTTTAAATAGTTCTAAACTTACCCTACGTGACAGTACAGAGTTGGGTATTTTATATGTTGTGACACAAGATACATTTAAAAGGATTTTTACTTGAACTTTCATCGGAAATGAACGTTCTGCCGTATAATTTAAATGTTATTTGAACGTCATCGTACGTTGTGCGATATTAAAATCTCGAACGATGACGTATAATCTCGTTCTGTCCTTGAACGTGATAAAATATAACAGACAAAAATAGTCAATTATCACAAAAGTTTACCCGTGTTTTAATGTTAATTCCAACCAGTTCTAACATGTCGCTAAGCAAAATGACTCAAATTAATTCATTGTTAACCCAAAAATAAATAAATGATCACTAAAATTAAAACAACATAATTATTAATGTGAAATTACCCATTACCAAAGATAAGCTAAAAGAGACCAAGGCCCCGGAGGAGACGGAGCCCCGCTATGAGGGGCTCCTATTCCTGCTCGACTGAAACTTTACAAATGGCATGCCGGTGGCTACATGATTGTTATTCTAATCTATCCGAGCATCAGATCGGGCTATCAAAAGTGATTATTTTCTACATTTGATGAATATAATTTGAAATGAAGACTAGTTTGCTGATATCCAGTATATGTCACCGGAAAATAACGATAATCGTAAATTTATTTTCCAAGTGTAAACTCAACAAGCAATTTGTATATAGACAGAATACGCACTAAGACCTCATAGCAAAATTATTTTGACCCCAAAAAGCTGAAAACAGGATTATATTTATTATTAAATTAAAGTTAGTTTAATAAATCAAACGTAATATTAATAAGATTAAATAGAATTCTATCATCTACTAGAGAAAAAACTGTTGAAATTCACATACCTATACACTTGAGCCACGTAGTACACGAACACATCGAAATTATAACACCCCTCTTCTTTAGTTGGGGTGAAGGAGCAGTGATAAACGAAATAGTCAATTGACCACCGTGGTCAACCATCACATACTCTGAAAGTGTGATCTCTGGCAATATGAATGTAACACTATGTTAAATAATTTAATTGTTTCGTCAGGTGTACCTTATTATACGGACCTTGTGGAACCTAGAACGAATTTCCGTGCGTTTAGGCGTTTTCGCCATACCTATTATTGGAAGCAAGTATAACAGCTCACACATAGGACTCACTTAGTTTTTAGTCAAATTTCCGTGGTGCTTGGTGACTGGGCTTCACCCAGTTGTACAGTCTCTTCTTTGTGCCTTTAGGCTTGATTCATTCTGTCTCCTGCAGTAATTCACCGAGGGAAGTGGACACCTTAGTTTGTTTTCTTCTCCTCTTATAATATCTTCTGATTCACTTCGTTGCGGGAACCAAGACAGTTACTCATGTCCCTGGGACGCGCCGGACTTCAGTGTTCCGGTGTTTTCATGGTTGTATCTACTGTAGATTCTGGCTTACAGGAGTTGCAGCGGCTTTGGGAGGTTGTGGAGGGTATGACCCAAAAAAAAATGACCACTGTGGTCAGAGTTCACCCTAACTAACGAATTTAATGTGTCCTCTGGGATATGCTTCATCAACTACAGCAAGGCTTCCGATTGTATAGATGGGCAGAGCCTATGCAAGGTACTCGACGAACCAGGAATGCCTCACCACTTTGTTGCAGTATCTACACCGCGATAGGACCGAAGGACAGACCAAATTACCGCCACTTGAAATACAATTGTCTGCGATGCCATTTGCGCTACCGGAGATAAGAAAAGATGACGAGCAATAGTCCGCAAGAAAGTTTTTCGTGGAGGTACCCTCAGTATTAAGGAGAAGCAACACAAGCAGAAGAAGACTTAATTCAGTCTTCAGCAATTGTTTTCGGTAATTCAAGTAATCATTAAATGCCTGAAGTAATCTTATCTCAATCCAAAAATTGTGGATGTGAATCGATTTTTGACATTACTTGTATAGAGTTTGTGGCAAAAATCGATATAAATACAAACATATAACTACTATCGCCACACACATAAGTAAATAGAACTCAATTGTCACCCTGTACGTCGAGGTAATAAGAAGAATTGAGATTTTATATCAATATCATTTATTTAGAGGGTTTCCGATAACAATATTCACGCACAGTGTTATTAAGATATGATAACTATAAGTTTATGAATCAAAATCAGTTCCACTATGGTCTTCGGTATACTGTAATTTTTGAGAAAATTTCGTCACCGGGGTGTGAAGTTATCGACACTATCACGGAATCGCTTCCTAGTGGACTGCGGTATGAATACGCGGGAGTTTTGCTGTAAGTCACGCTGAGTCCGTTTATGATGACCCCGGGTGCAGCCTGGAACACCTTGGTAATATATTGTCTTTGACCTGCGACCGCTGGTGCCACAAGTGATGCCCTGAAAATAGTATCACAATATTTATTCCTAACCTTACAGTCCATTGTCCGTTTCGGCCCACAATTGCTCGCAATGATTTCACCGTGTGATCAAAAAGTGAAATAATCTGAGAACTGAGCCACCTGTCTCCTGTCGCTCTGTCAGCTCCAGGTTAAGACCGAAGTTTGTATCTATCCTACAGTGCGCGTACTCAAAGTGTCGACGTTTAATTGGCAAAAATAAAATAGAATTGTATGGTCATTGCGCTGTTACTCATTAGCTTAGTAGATACTCACTCAGATATCGGTATCCAAAAATCAGATTTAGAATTTAGCTCTGCGCTGGACACAATCCTTCCTTCGGGCGACATGTCATCATATAATACGGTGTAGCCTCTGGACATGTCCTCGCTCGGGAGGTCGGCGGCACTATAGCAAGCTGCGAGTGCGGACAGCACTGTGATAATGATGAAGGTCCTCATCTGTAATAACTCGTAGGTCTAAGACTAGGGCAGACAAGATGGTGGCAGTGCATTGTAAGATAGAAGCTTATTTATCAACTCCTACGCGACATCGCCGCGACCGCGCACGCTGGTCATGTGGAAGAGTCCCTCTGTGATTTGAAACAAGTTAAGTATATTTCTCAGTATATAACTCGTAATTTTTAGTTACATCAAGTCTCACGAAAGTTATCATAAAAACAATACATTTTTATTCATCTTAATATTTGGAAACGGAAAATTGAAATTTAACACCAGGCAAATAAAGTTCAGTTCCCATTCCTGAGAAAATACGTAACTATAAAATACTATCGGCTGCTTATAGTCTTCAAATTGAAACACTTTCTATACAACAAGAGAATATACTCTTACTCACCTTTAGTATATTTTATGTTTTCTTCGAACCGTTGGAAACGACAACTTGAAGCCAAGTGTATACAATGTGCTTCTAAGTTGTGTACCCGACTGTTTTATAGTAATTTCTGTGATAAGACACAACGTGTCATCAGTAGATGTAACAATATCTTTAAGGAAAAGGAGTTTATTGATTTCAATCGGCAACATCCGGATTAAACGTGATAAACTAATAATAGATAATAATGTATCGTAATAAGGGTGACTGCGATTGTCTAATTTTTCATTTGTTCGTGCCTTTACTTTTTTTTGAGGGGAGAGTAAAGTAATCTCCCACCTTGGGTAAGTTGAGAGGGAGTGTCAGACTCTTACTGACTAAAAACCACCCCGTTCCTATTCCTGCACTTCGAGCCGGAGCCCCGGCAACCCGTTATTAGGCCTTCCGCAGCTCCGTATCGGCATCATCCTTATTGGGCCCCATCTGTGGTGGTCTGATGGCGCCTTAAGGCGCGCGCATAACGCGACGCGCCGTACGTTCGGGTCTGGTTCTGATCGGACGGCGAGTCACCCCTGTTTTGCCGTCCGCAGATAGTACGGTGGCCGGAGATCAACTCACGATCCCCGACGCCCGAAGTGTCTCTCGCGACGGCTGGGGCGTGAGGAGGTTCGTTCCTTCACGCGTCCACCATAAGGAGGACCTTAGCTAGCATGACTGCTTCGTAAAAGGAGGAGATAGCAACCCAGTCCCCCTCGCTTCGTGCCATGGTCTGAACCAGTGCCTGATGCGAGAGGTCACCGTCGCCGAGTGCAAAAGACCTTAGCGTAGGGGAAACCACTTACTATGTCGTGAATATCATCATCAATGATAGTGATAACTGATAAACTTGAGTCAATGAGTAGATTAATTTCTAAATATAGAAAGATAATTTAATGCCTGTAATATCTATTTTTACATTGCATTTCCAGTAATTTAACGAAGTTGGACTTTAGAAATTATTTATAAGGAAATCACAACATTTATTGATAAACAAATAAAGCTTTATCAGTATTTATTTTTACGAATTAATATATTAATTAATCTCTTCCGGTATTTGTGACTGGGTGATTGAATGACCACACAACAACACAATATATTTAGGATTTTGTGACGTCATCAACTAATCTTACGGCCCACAATTGGGTAATTTCCTTTTCTTAATCAAAAATTAATTATTTCGACTTTTCATTACAATAAAATATTAAAAAAATAATCACACTTTCATTTATTGATTTTATGACCAATTTATTTGAATATTTTCCCAGCAAATTTTTAATAAATAAGTATGCTATTTGACGCTAAAAAAAGTGACGTCTCAATACTCAATCTCTTACAAAATTCATAGAAAACTGTCGTTTTCGACTTCAATTATCCTATAAGTGCCAATTGCTGTGCAAAGGGCTCTCGTCACATCGAGAAATAATGAACTAACAAACTTATTATTTTAATTATAAGTCGAAGTCTCTAAGAAGCTGAACTCTAAACGGGGTTGCTTTTAGTTAGTAAGTGTTCGACACATTTTTTTCACCTCACCCAGGGCGGGAGGAATATTTGATTACTTTGCAGCAGTTAAAAAAAGCATGGACACTTTATTGTTGTTATAATTAGGTAAATTTTATAATTTTAAACATCCAAATATTTAAAGTAGCGCCATCTAGTTTTTGCCTGGGAAGTTAACCGCGCAGGATGTTATTTGTTATTTTCTGTCTGCTTCCTTGTCGTTGCATCGCATCATCGCATGACGCCGAGATGTGCTTTCTAAGTTTCTTTAATAAATTACGTATAAAAAGTATCTATTATTTATTTAAATGAAAACCAATCACTTCAACAATTGTTAATCCTTTAAATTGTGTTTCGTCGTATGATTTAGGTTAAAGGAGGTCAAATTATATTTTTTGGTTATTTTATTAGAAATATAAAAAAATATTTAATAACTAATTTGAAAATTACTTATAATTTAAGATTTTTTGTTATATTTAATGTGATTCATACGTAATTTATAAACTTATGGGTTAAGATATTATTTTCTTAATTTAGGTCAACATTTATTAAAAAATATTGATATAGGATGAAGAGAAATTTAACTAAAAATCACGGGTTACTCACGTGCATATACTGAGAAAAGAGTAAGCTGCGCGACATTGCCGCGACCGCGCACGCTGTTCATGAGGAAGAATCCCTCTGTGCTTCGAAACTAGTGGAGCTTTTCTCAGTATATTCAAGTGAGTAACCCGCGATTTCTAGTTAATTTAATTTGTCTCACTATAGTTATTATAATAACGGAGATAAAGTTATAAAGGATTTAGGATCATACAAGTAATACGAGCAGACGAATCGCTGTCTGCCTGTTTGGCCGCTGATCCCATAAAAAATTGTTTTAATGTAAAAAAGTTATCGAGGAAATAGTAACTATTTTTAGGAAAAGAACTAAGATATAGTCATTCCTACTACGGTAATTACTTCATTATCTGTCTGTCCATTACTTAATCCGGATATCACAGATTAAAATCTAAAGACTCGTGGATCTTATCACAGAAATTACTATATAACAGTCTGATACACAACTTAGTAGCACATTGCAAACACTTGGCTACAAGTGGTATTTTCTACGGTTCGAAGCGAAGAAATTATAGAAGGTAAGTGATTTTTGTCATAAAGTTACATCACGCCAATTATCCCCGAAGTAGACAGAGGTGCACAATACGGCACATATTGCCCCTGTTCAATGTCGCACCCACTTTTCACTAATCAACAATTTCAATACTAATTTCCTGATATTTCCTGATGTGAAACCAGTTTCATACCACAATCTGCCAACATCCAATCTAGCTAAACTTAGACCTACGTGTTATTCCAGATGAGGACCTTTATCATCATCGCGCTTCTGTCAGCACTCGCAGCCTGCTATGGTGCTGCAGTCCTCCCCAGTGAGAAGGTGATGTCCGAAGGTATCACCATTGTATATGACGAGGATTCTCCCAATGGAAGGATTATGTCCAGGTCGGACACAGTAGACAACTTATTCGTTCTACTATCTGAGTGAGTATCCACTAAACATCTTTAGTAACTGAACATTATTTTTTGTTTATGAGATATACGGTTAACGAGCAGACGGGTCACCTGATGGTCAGCAATCAGCGTCGCCCATGGACATCTAGAACACCAGCACCACCATATAAATAATATTGAACACAACACGTTAATACCGCTTAACTTGAATAATGTCGATTAAAATCCATAGATGTCGCTTACTATAAAATATGGAAGTGTCAATGAAAAATCAAACAATTACTTGATAAACTTCAACAATGTTATCCTTGTCCTATTTATCGTAGCGGTAATCAAATTGATAAATAAAGGATTCCTCCAATTAAGATAGCGAGATATTACAGATTGGCGGTTAAATGTGTGATTTTTTATGTAAGTAATAAAAATTGGAAGCAATAAAGTACACCTGCATTAGCTTCACCACAAGTATCAGAGTTGCGGTGCGAACCGTCTAAGAAACTGATTGCCTGTTACTAAAATACCAGACACTATAGTACTACAGTATTCTGTGGGAGAGTAATACTTCCTTCCGTTAGAACCAGCTCATTAAAGTTGCATAAAGCATTTACTCTATTGGATTGTGTTAAGCGCCATCTATTGGAATACGCTCAAACTATTTTGAGAAGTAGTCTGGCATTTGCTTCATTAAATTAAAATACCAGACACTGTAGCATTACAGTATTCTGTGGGAGAGTACTTCCTTCCATTAGAACTAGCTCATTAAAGTTGCACAAAGCATCTACTCTATTCGATTTTGTTAAGTGCCATCTATTGAAATACGCTCAAACTATCCTCGCAAGTAGCTTAGCATTTTTTTTTATTAATCATTTATATCAAAACAAAAGATAACACTATTCAAGCGTTTGAGGTGCCCACGCATACAAACTGCTTGTCAGTCTACTTTGTTGTTGTTATAGGACATATTATTACTATTTGTTTAAGACTTTGACTGCCAATAAAAAACTGTTGAAGGCAAATCCTCCGCTAACGCCGGTTACCGGTGACCCCCATGGCGTTCAACGTGTTAACCGTACGTTACGCTGGCACAAAAGGTAGTGAAGTTTATCAAGGCCAGAAAATAAGAAGTTAAGGAATGGAATTTAAAATACTAATATAATATTATACTCTCACTTTCAGGTCAAGCATAAACGTGCCAGCTATTCCAGGCAAGGTACAAAAAGCTGGCATAACGTATCAAGCTCCAGAAGGAGTCAGGATCAGCAGAGTTTCAATCACTCTTTACGCCAATCTTCCTGGCGATACACAAAATTCTCCATTGGGAAGCGACTACGTTGAATCACATGTGACATCACGTCCAGGAGACGCCATTAACTCGTCGAGTACCGGTTTTATAGACACAATTAAAGAACAATAGGTCGCGGTCACCGGTGACCGCTTGGTGTTTGACAGATTAATGGAAGTATTGCTGTCTACAGGTGGGCAGATTAATTGAATAGACCTGATGCTGTATACTCCGTAATACAATGACAATGTGCTAGTTACTGTTCATCACGAATTTTGCTATACAATACTGCCAGTATCATCATCGTCATCGTCAACAGTCTATAAGTGACCACTGCTAACCAAAGACATCTTGTCACACGAGGAAGTATGAGCATTAATCACCACGCTTGCTCAATATGGATTGGTGATTTCAAACTTGTAATTAGAAATTATAAGTCCAAGTTTCTTCACGATGTATTACTGCTAGTATTGTGTAAATACCTATAAATTATATTATTCAATTCAACATTTTATTCTTTTATTTATTTACTGTACTTGGAGTGCAGAACATACCTCTTTATATAGGTACTACTAACGGCTCACCCAAGCTTCACCTAGATTTTATCCTCCGAAGTTTTAGTCCTAACAGTAACCAACAACACGACAAAAGAAGAAATATCCATTTCAGTCGAGAAGTTCAAGAGTTACGCGCTTACATACATTTCGGTAATTCGTAATGATATGAATAAATTATTGTTTTCGGCTTACTCACGTTATTATTTACGACTAGTTTTAAGCCATGCTGATCTGATACTGATGATCAGTAGCAGTGACACAGTCGCCGCGTCGCAGGTCGCGAATGAATATCAGCCTCTAGCATGGCTCGAAACTAGTCGATTTCCTCGTCAAATAATTACGTGAGTAAGCCGAAAACATAATAATTTATTTAGTATGTCTCACAAAAGTTATAATACAAATATACATAATGATATGCCTCATAATGAAAAGCGAACACCATAAGATTTGCTACTGCCGATAACAATAAAACCAAATTGGATAATACTTTGTTAGACACCATCCGCACCTGAAGGAGGCATCGGGTCCTCTTAGTACACCAGCTCCGAAGCCCCCAGGGGCCAACGCCTGTTACGGCACCTCCCTATGGAGACCTATGTGTCTACCTAGAGCATTTCTGTGCAGAAGCACGTGACCACTGTGCCGCTATTTTCCTTGAGGAAATTAGGTAGATTTAGATCCATAGATTCTAATTGTGTACCTATTCCAAGATAAGATAAGACTATATATATATTTTTTTTTTATATTATAGGTTATTTCTCCACGGACTCTAGGTCCGTGCCCTTGTCATACAGTTTTTTAATTATAATACATCTAGTCAATTTTTATAAAGTAAAGAGGGAACCTAGTTACACACTACAATTAACTACATCTATAATTATTACCAAAAGTATAGGTTACATAATAATTAGGCACTATTTATTTATTTCTATTTCAAAGGCTTTATGAAACCAGCCCACCAACAAGATGGGAGAGCCGACCTGACCCAGCAGAAGGCACCCGTTCACGAGTATGACGTGTGTGTCAGCAATTGGTCCGGTCAACCTTTTCATTGGGAACGGAACAACCCAACACACAGCGCCACCGACTGTAGGACATTTATGTGTGCATGACGCCTCAACCTTTGCCACATGGGCCGATTCCAATAAAGCGTACAATAGTCCAAAGTATTAGATAAGCCTATATTGCTCACCTGTTTTTTAGCCTATTTCGTATCTTCTTATCAATTAGTAATACCGATATACCTAATAATAACTAGACGGTATTAATATTGTTTTAGGATTCCGTGCGTAAAGGGTAAAATGGGACACCATTTGCTACAAATCAGCGCCATGGACTGGGGCCTTCTTGCCCGACCCACAGCATTAAGCTGAGTAAAGGCCTTTTATGCTGCGATGCACTATATACTTCTTTTTGTCCTTGTTCACTTGTACAATATCTTTGTAAAGAAGATGTGCATTGGACCCCACGGCCCTAAAGTTTCAACCCCAAATGGTTTGAAAGCATAATTGCCAATCAGGCTATTTTTTTTTCAATGGGGGAAAATCATCGATCGACTGCTCCCGCCTGGGTGAGGCGGAAGGGAGTGTCAGACTCTTACTGACTAAACACCACCCCGTTCCTTCTCCTGCACGTCGAGCCGAAGCCCCGGTTACCCGTTAGGTTCTCCGCGACTGCCAATCAGGCTATTAAGGTACTATACTTTCACCGTTTGAGGTTCTCGACAGCAGTAGCGGCAGTACTGGCTCGACATACTGAGCTTGGAAGATGGAATGGCGCCAGAGTATCAACGTATATGGCGTCCCATACTAAAGGCCTACTCATCTTCCAAGGGAAAAAGGATATCCTGTCTCTTGCCATCGTTGCGTACCAAGCCATTAGGCTTTAAAGTAGCTGGCACGCTGACGGAGACAAGAGCCCAACGAACACTATTTTCTATCTTCTTTTTCTATATAAATAAAAATGAATTGCCGTTCGTTAGTCTCGCTAAAACTTGAGAACGGCTGGACCGATTTGGCTAATTTTGGTCTTGAAATGTTCGTGGAAGTGCAGGGAAGGTTTAAAAGGTGAGAAAATTATTTTTTAGGCGGTACGAAGTTTGCCGGGTCCGCTAGTTATATAATTTATAAAATAAAGTCGTGTTAGTTACACCATTTATAACTCAAGAACGGCAGAATAGATTTGGCTAAAAATTGGTAAGGAGGTAGCTTAGAGCCAGGAGACCGACATAGGATACTTTTAAAAACAAATTTTTTTTTTTACTTTTACCGAAAATCACGAACGGGGACGGGAAAAAATGGGATTACGCGTACGAAGTCGCGGGCAGAAGCTAGTAAATTTATAAATAAAAATAAAACCAATTACTAAAAGACAGAAAATTAAATTATTATTAGCAGGTTGTAGTTTTTTCTTGGGAGAGCATTGCTTTGCCTCACAGAAAACCGACGTGAAACTACGCTTGCCTTGCGTTTCGTCGTGTAAGCTTGGTTACCGGAAGTCCAATTACCCCAATCCTTGAATACCCAAAGATCCTCAAACTCCTAATCCCAAAAGGCCGGTGACGGACTTAGTAACTTAGTAACGCTTCTAGTGTTCCAGGTGTTCATGGGCGACGCGGGTTGCTTACAATCGGGTGATCCGTCTGCTCGTTTACCGGCTTATGTCATAAAAAATACTTTTTCTGATTTTTATAGACAACAGAACCCTGTATTCGTGACTTCGACTCAAACTTTACTGGATTTCATGAGGATAATGCGGTTATAACTATTTATTTATCTAATCATATAGATAGTGTCTTTGTTCTAATACCTCTATATTAGTTGGATACATAACTTTTTACTACTCCATGGCCCGTTGTATTGTGTTACAGTTGCATCAACAATAACAAAAAACCAAACGTAAGTCTCATTGTATTTTTGTAGCTACAGATACTTAATTGAATTTTGTAGCTTCATTTTTTTTCTTAGTTAAATTTTTAAATAAAAAAATAATAGAATAGGATCTCTTTTTTAACGTACAATTAAACTAGTGGAATTTAAGTGGAAATCGGGTAAAAATAGTATAGGAGATAGACAAATATAAGTATAATTCGGTGTGTTTTACTGATATTAGTGCATGTTAGGTATATCATTTTAGCATTATATTTATGTAATAAATAATTTAACATTATATTACGTTCGGTCATGTCATTTTGCGCCATATTTTGTTATTGTGTTGTATTATGTTTTTGTGATTATATTCTTTATACTCTTGAGGGTCCATATTAAACTGGCAAACACCAAGCGGTCACCGGTGACTGCAACCTATTGTTCTTTAATTGTGTCTATAAATACGGTACTCGACGAGTTTATTATTAAACCAGAGTCATACGAGCACGAACTTAAATGTATAAAGCTTTTTTTTATTTTTTTAACGTTGCCCTAATCTAGAAATATTTCCTGTGTCGTGGGTGGGTTTACAAACACACAAGTTTATATGCTCATGACACCCAGACCCAAACCAACAATAAAATTTGTGGTTCACACAAAGAGTTGCTCCGTGCGGGAATCAAACACGCTACACGTTGCGCGTTTCGTTTACCTCTAGTGTGGCGAGTCGTAAAGGCTGGCAAAGCACTTGTGCAAACGTGGTTTTTTATCAATTCAAGTATGAGAGAGCCATGCTACGATACCAATAGGTAGGTTCGATCGGAGTGATACCACGGGTACACAAAAAAACCGACTTGAAACAACGCTTGCATTATTGTGTTTCGTCGTGTGAGGTTACCGGAGGCCCAAATAAAAATGTCCCCAATCTCTGAATCCCAAACAATCCTCGAATTCCCAAAAGGCCGGTAACGCACTTGTAACGCCTCTGGTGTTCTGGATGTCCATGGGTGACGCCGATTGCTTAGCAACAGGTGATCCGTGCGCTTGTTAACCTGCTTATTCCATAAAAAAACCTAAATTTGGGGTTTGGAGATCTGAGGAGTCATGTGTATTGAGTAATACATGACCTTGGTAGACATATATGCAGAAGATTTTCCTTATTTTTTACGTAATCTAGAATTCACAATAATTATATTCACAAAACACGTACCTACATAGACAGATTATCTTCGTGTCGGCCAATCGAATGAATCCGATTAATGGTTCATTATCATTGTACCTTATCGATTACAATGAAACATGACGGGGGTCAGGAAGTGTATTTGGGTTGATACGGACGAGATAAATAGATTGTTTGAAGACACATATTATCCATCAGTTTCCAAGAGAAAGGAGTATGATAGGGATTTAAAAATGAATATAATTATTTGTAGGGCTTTTTATTTTTTTTAAGTGGGAAAATCATCGTATGACTGCTCCCGCTTGGGTGAGGCGGGAGGGAGTGTCAGATTTCTTACTGACTAAAAACCACCCCGTTCCTTCTTCTGCACGTCGAGCCGGAGCCCCGGTTACCCGTTACGTTCTTCGCGACTCTTTATAGGCCTTAGGGCGATCTCTTTTTTTAGGGGAGAAGTCATCGAATGACTTTTCCCGCCCTTGGTGAGGCTAGAAGGAGTGTCAAACTCTTATGGACTAAAAACCACCCCGTTCTAATTCCTGCTTCGAGCCAAAGCCCCGATAACCAACAAAGTCATCTGCTGCGCAGGTCAGACAAGAACTCTAAACATCAACTTTTATTTAGTGTCTATTTAAATACCCTCTAACCATCTAGGTTAACTTTAGTCCTAATGTTTATCTTTATCGTACACCATTAATAATTATAGTACATACAGAAAAGGTAACAAATATAAATAAATATTAATAATGAGCACAAAGGCGGTCTTATCACTTATAGGGATTTTTACCAGACAACCTTTAGGTATTGCAAAAGAAATATTTAGACGGGTTGTGTACTAAGAAAATAAATAAAGAAAATAGTAATAATACATATGTACATACACATACTTACACTTAAGTATACCATAATAGGGAAGATAGGCATCTTTAAATTTTTATTTTAATGTCCGTCTTGTAGATTATTTTAAATCATTAGACACGTATTTTTATTTTCTTACAGAAACGAATACTTTCCACGATATATTGATTTGGAATGTCGCGTGACGTCACTTTTATGTACATTTTATACGTAGAAATGATGTTTTAGCCCCCACTCCTAAACTTTGATTCGTTTTATCTAAGTATTGTTTTATTATACGACGAAATAAAAAAATACTTGTCTAATATTTTTTCATTACCTAACTTACGGCCTAATTATATCTTTAATGTCATCCCTGTCATCATCCCTATTACGGATCACATGAAAGGAAACAAAACAGCAACAGTATGAAGGTGTACCTTGTGGTTGTTGCAGATGAGGAGTTTCATCATCATCACAGTGCTGTCAGCACTCGCAGCCTGCTGTAGTGCTTCTGTACTCCCGAACGAGGAGGAGATGATCACCGTTGTATACGATGAAAACTTCCCTAATGGAACTATTGTTTCTAAAGAAGAACTTGATTCCAGATTCTCTAGAGTAGTAGCAGAATCTTCGTAAGTATCAACTACTACTACTACTGCTAACAAAAAGTTTTTGTCAATAGAAATAAATACTTCGTTGCCTCGTTGGCCGAGTGGTCGCAAGTGCGGTCGGGCAAAGTATTACTGGGTTCTTAAAAAAATTCTCAGTAGTAGCACGGTGTCCGGAATTGTGTCCGATATATGGCAATAGGCTCACCCCCTATTACATGGAACTCATAACATAAATTAGTGCAAAGTAGGTGTTACATTGTACAGTGGCTTAATGTGCACCTCTGCACCTTCGAGGATAATAGGCGTGATGTTATGTTATGTTATGTGAAAAAATACCTATATCAAATTCAAATTTATTTATTCATTGTGGATCACAGGTATTACAAGACATTATCATAATTTGGTTGAGATTAACTGTGACTATTTCATCTATTGCCCAGTTTCTGCTTTCATTGTTTTATTAGGACACTTAGAACAAATGCGTTCAGTAGTTTTTGCTAGTATCTAACAAACAATAAATGTGTATGTACACACAAACATACAAATTCAAAAAGTTTCACAACCAACATTGGTTGCTCAATCACACCAAATGGCTGAAAGGAATGAAATTTGAAATAGGGATAGATTATCGTCTAGATTATCACTTAGGCTATTATTAGCCCACGGGATCGTTGGCAAAACCGCTTGAAATTTGTATCTATATTCATATACACATATATCTTCACAAACTTTCACAATTGTCACCTAAAAATAAGAAATTAAATACACTTTGGTACTTGAGTTAGTAATACAAATTTCAGCCTAGGCCTAGAACCACCAGGGCAACAAAAAATATTACTATTAGTATGATATATTATTATGAATATACTGAGAAAAGCTCTACTAGTTTCGAACCACACAGGGGTTCTTACTTATGAAAAGCATGCGCGGTCGCGGCGACGTCGCGCAGCTCACTGTGAGCTATGCAAAATATGAAACCAGTAGAGCTTTTCTCAGTACATTCACGTGAGTAACCCGCAATTTTAGTTAATTTAGTATGTCTCACGATAGTTATTATAAAACATGATATATCATCATCATCACACATCCATTATGTATGGATATGAATCACCTGATGGGAAGCAATCTGTACGGCGTGTGGACTACCACAATACTAGAGGATGTTCAAGTGCATTGTTGGCCTTTTAGGGGTAAGAAAGAGGATGATATCCGGCTACCTCACAAAGTAAACATTGTTTCATACCGGTTTTCTCTGAGGCCGTGGTCGGTAGTGGTCGTACTCGGGCCGAACCGACCTATTTGCCAAAGCAAGGCTCCTCTTGAACGGTTTTATTAATATTGTAATGTAATTTTGTTATGTTTAGATGGGTATGTTCGGTGCCGGCGATCTCAAGACAGTCGCAGGTTATTACTATGCAATATCTCGGCGATCCGCGTGATTTGATAAGAAGAATCGTTCACAGTTATTCTGGAAACCCTACGATGAGTCATAGTCCACTTTTTTCAAATAACATGCTTGTAACAATTACGTCGCGATCCGGTCAAGGAATAAACTCAAGAATTGAGCTATATTTATAATAAAAAATATATTTGTGTGAGCTTAAATTATTTTAGGTAAATAGAAAAAGAGAAAAACCATTTATTTGGCAATTGGCACACAAAACAAACAATATAAAAATAAAAATATATAATACAGATACTTATATAAATATGTACATAATATTAATAATAAACTTAAAAAAGTAAAGAAAAGAACGAAAAACATCAAAGTATAACGAAATATATACAATTTATATCATTGTGAATATTATTATGAATGAATTAACTATAATCGCAGGTTACTCACGTGAATATTCTGAGTAAAGCTCTACGTGAGTACCCCACGATTTTAGTTAATTTAGTATGTGTAACGATAGTTATTATAAAAACATTATGAATAAATATTATAAAGATAATATAAGTTTGTAAAGATTAGCGATGAGACTCATACAATTGCTATCTTCTGGTTTGTTAGCTGTCAGTTTTTTATAGTTGTTAAATAAATACATATCTTAGCTGAATGCTGATGATAGTTTATTAACTTTGTTCTCAATTATACATACTACCTTTATGATAGTCGTCCTGAATATTGTTATTCAAAAATAACATACAAATAAATTATATTTATTAACAATCTGTTTTATTTTATTTTATATGATTTTTATTGTTGACTGAAATGGTTAACAGTTACCACTTTCATGATGATAAACAGATTTCAGAAATAGTGTCTCTATGTTTTAGTATTAAAGTGGTATACCACTTTTTACAAGATTAAAAAGAATAGGGTTAAACCTTTATTTTTATGATCATCCTTGTTACATTTATTATTACATTTTTTATGGCATAAGCCGGTAAACGAGCAGACGGATCACCTGATGGTAAGCAATCGGCGTCGCCCATGGACACCTGGAACACCAGTGGCGTTACAAGTCCGTTACCATCCTTTTGGGGATTAGGAGTTTGAGGATCGTTGGGGATTCAGGAATTGGAGAGATTGGGGAAGGGGAGGGTAATTGAGTAATTGGGACATGCACACAATAAAGGGCAAAGACTAGTATGAATTAAATGAAAGGTAATTTTTTATCAAAATTTTTAAATAAATTTATTCAGCACCTACTGTTTGCTAATAACAGTATTATGCTGAGGGGGATACAGATTACAAAGATGGAGAATTTAACATATTATGAACCAGTATCAATACTTCACGCTCTCCGGAGCAACGTTACATTTGCATTGACCTGTTGCCCAGCATGAGATCGTATAGTTACAGTCATGACATTCGTTGATAGAGGACTCCAGTCTACTGCTGCAGGTGTTACTGTATATGTTACTATGAGTCTGTTTATCCTGAGATTGGGTGCGCCTTCATAATGCACATTAACACGCTGCACCAGGCCTGCAACTGCTGGAGCGTTACATTGCCACCTAAAAATGATACCACAATATTTATTCTTCTTTGCACATATTTATCTAAAATTCTTTATAAATTACACTTTTAAATACTACTTATAAAATAAAAAATAATATTTAAAAATATAAAAAATAGGAGCCGACCAGTAGCGGGAGCATGGTCCAAGCTACCGGTGGTTAGGGCTCCAGAGACAGAAACCTCCTCACGATACGTGCCGTTTTTAGGAGAACTGCCTTCTGTATCAGGCCCTTGATCCTTCCACCTAACGCCTGCCTCCTGAGATGGATATCGAGGCTTTTATTCTCATTATTCTTAGTATTTTTTTCCTACCGTTTCCAATTTAAGATCTGGATCAACGGCTTTTTGCTCTCCCTGTTTTAAACAAAGGCCACATTCTAAACAATTATTAACTGATTAGTAAATGCTTTCACTATTCATGACAAGTTCCTGTCTTTAATCGACAAACCTAATACAACTGACAAAACGTTTATACTAATGATTTACAGTAATGCATACTGTGGAGAGCCTTTGCAAGGAAGGTAATATCTAATAGACTAAAATGATTCTTGTTCGAAACTCTTTGACTGTTTATAAATTCATGAGACAATAGGTTTTTTTTTTTAAGGGGGGAAAATCATCGAATGACTGCTCCCGCCTGGGTGAGGTGGAAGGGAGTGTCAGACTCAAAAAAACATTAGACACGTATTTTTAATTTTTTAACGGAAACGAATAGTTTCGTAGATATATTGATTTGAAATGTCGCGTGATATCAGTTCTATGTACATTTTATACGTAGAAATGACGTTTTAGCCCCCACTCCTAAACTTTGGTTCGTTGTATCTAAGTATCATTTTATTATACAACAAAAAAAAAATACGAGTCTAATATTTTTTTTTCATTACCTAACTGACGGACTAATTAGATATTTAGTTTTTATACCATGTCATCATCCTTATTAATATGTTCAAGAGTAGCTCAAGATTAAAAATGTTTAGTAAGGCATAAACCTTGTAAGTATTCAATAATTATTATGTTTTTCGACTCGCGTAACTGTTTGATAAGTAAGTCGACTAGTTTCAAGCCAGCCAGGGGTTCATATTCTATTGATAAATGCCCCGACACACGACGTGAAGATTATAAGTAGCTGCGTAACGATCGACGCGTCGTTGTGTGTCGTGAATTGCTGCTCTTGAATATGAGCCCCAGGCGTGGCTTGAAACTCATAAAACTAAACTCGAGTGCCTCGTAAAACAGTTACGTAAGTAAGACGTAAAATATAATAATTATTATTTAATTTATGTCTCAAGAAAAGTAAAAAAAAACACAATTATTTCATGAACTACGTTTAAACAAACCGACTTCAACCTCCTCTTTCTTTGAAATCGGTTAATTATATACTAAAACCTTCTCCCAAACGTAACAAATACTTTTCTGAAAATCACATTAAAATCGGTTCAGCGAATCGATAAACGCGCACAAACATAACACACAGGGTGCTTACTCTTGAAACCAATCTCAATGTCAATTCATTTCAACCCAATACAATCTCAATAATTATTCAATGTCAAAGCCTTACTATCCCTATCGTAGCTGTTAAAATAGTATTCAGAGTTCGGAATATAAAGCCAAACTTAATACCTTTTAGTTCATTCAATGTCAACGCAATACGGATGCAATGGACGCTAGTGTTGCAACTCAAGAGTACGAAATTTCACAATACTAATGTCGATCGATCGGAATTGGATTCAATAGTAAGCCTGGTCATGATGAGAACCACCTTACTTATTTGAAGTCCTTTAAAAATAGTTGATACTCACTCAGATATAACAACCCATGTTGTATTTCTTAAATTCACGTCTGCACTGGACATAGGTTTCCCGTCCATACATGTATCATCCTCATCATATACTAAGGACATCGGCTCCAAACTTGGGATATCGGCATAGCAAGCTACCAGAGCTGACAGCACCGCGATGATAATGAAGTTCTTCATCTATAACAACCACGTGACACAATCTCATACTATTCTTATAAACATCGAGACTTAGGTCTAGATGATGATGTTAAAGTATTGATAGTGTTTTTTTAAGTGGGGAAAATCATGGAATGGCTTCTCCCGCCTAGGTGAGGGGGGATGGAGTGTCAGACTCTTACTGACTAAAAAACACCCCGTTCCTATACTACTACACTTCGAGCCGGAGCCCCGGTAACCGGGATGCGTATCGGCATCAGCTCATCCGTGTTGGTCTGATGGCTCTTTGAGGAAGTATTGATAGTGTAAGACTTTATCATACGGCGATTAAACTTCATACCTCTATAATTATGCTTGATGTTAACTTTGATCTCATTTAAGGTACTTAAATTATAATAATTGATATAACAAAATGTTCAAACCTTCTCCGTGTGAGAAGAGGTTTTGCTCAGCATTGTGCACTTATAGGGTATAATATGAAAAAGTAAAATAATGACGAAATCGCATACGATAAGTTGTCATCGTCCATATCATGCTTATCAGTGACAAGAACTTTACAGCTGAACATCTTTACGCAAAGAATTTCAAATCTACAAGAAAATGGGTACTTATCCCTAACATAATTATTATCTCCAGTATAGAGGTAAATTCTGAAGTTCTTCACGATGCATGTGGACGGACCACCAGATGAACAGTTTTAATTTAAGTACTATTAATTTAGAGACACAATGGTTTCCACAAATTGACTAATTATTTTACGTCAATGTTAAGATGAATTCGTGATAGAGCGATGAATACTTCAGAAGATGATGAAAAGAGAAAAACGAACCATCACTCACTTTGATAATTCTCGTATTCCTTGCAGAACTTGGCGCTGGTCCTGAGTTTAATTAGAGCAAGACAAATAATCGCTTAATTATTGCGACACTACTTATATATATTTTAAAATATTAAAATGATAAGATTGCAGTGTTGGTACGTTTTTATCTAAGGCAAGATTAATAGACAACGTTATTTGTTTATCAAAATCACAATAAATCCGAATGCGGATGTAGGAAAACAGTTGATATAAAATATGTGGTCAATGGTGATAAAATGCTGGACAAAGGCCCCTTAGCCCTCCACGTCGAACACACAACTCGCCACTTCACAACGAGGAAAATTTAGTCATTCTTCTCAAAAAGCTAGGCCTGTTTCTGAAGAAGATGGATTCCGGAGCTGGTTTATTTCATAGACATATTGGGCCCTCTACAGGTGCTGACGGTTACCCATTTTTGATTTAGGAAAATCATACATGACTTCT